GCTGACCTGTGTGAGTTAGGGTTACTCAAGATTGACTTTTTTCAGCAATGCAGTTGTATTTCAGAGAAACCATTGTTCTGGGTCGCCCTCAAGAATGAGGGAAGCAGAGAGAGGACTTTTGAACCATTATAAAGTTAACATTAGGGCTTCAGGAAGGTTAAGCTGTTAAGGACATGTACTGTTCTTACTGAGAACCCAAGTTCAATTCCTAGCACACACATTGCGTAATTCACAGCTATAACTCCAACTTTAGGGGATCTGATACTCTCATCTCACTACTCTTAGTGCCTGTATTCATGCTCGCATGCATGTGCACACACAAAATTAAAATTAAGAAAAATCTAAATAAGTCCCCTTGAACTTTATATTAATTAATATTTTATTAGTTTAGTCACTGTGCTAGTTTGAGGGAGTAAAGAAAGTTTCTAGTATTATTAATGTTGCCAGTATCCTAAAACAACCTTCAAATTTGTGGTGAAATTCATGGCTATAAAAGTGAAGCTTTATGTTCTTCCACCTCCCACTGCCTTGCCTTGCCTTGAACTCATGGTAATCCCCCTGCCTCACCCTTCTAAAAATGGAAATTCCCTGAGTGTGCTTATATCCCTGATATAAGCCTCAAGTTGTAAAACTTCTTAGCTCAGTGCAGAGGAGGCAGTTAGCATTCCCTTGTGGAGGCTGGTATCCTGTTAACCTTGCTGTCTTAGTCTTTGTTGGATCAGGCATTTCAGTAGGTTGATGTCCAGTGTACTTGGGTAAGTTTACTATTAGCAGTTATAGCTGCCATTTATTGAGAGTTTTCTGTGGTTCAGGTATTATAGGATTCTCTGTTAACTTACTTAACTCTAACAGTCATCTAATAGGACCCTCTTGACTGAGGAGGACAAGATTATTCTTCTAGGGAGTCAGAAGAAGGAAACTGTAATAGCATGGAATAATAGAAAGGCGTTTTACATGGGAATCAAGTCACTGGGATCAGTCATTGTCTTAGTCACTGTTCTGTTGTTATGAAGAGACACCATGACCAAGGCAACATTTATAAAAGAAAGCATTTAATTGGGACTTGCTTACAGTTTTTTAGGTTTATTTATTACCATCAAGGCAGGGAACATAGTGGTAGGCAAGTTCTGGAACAGTAGCTGAGAGCTATATTTGCATCCATGGGCTGCGAAGGAGAGAAATAACGGGCCTGGTGTTGGCCTTTTGAAACCTCAAAGCCCACTCTTTATACTTCCTCTAGCAAGGGCACGCTTCCTAACCCTTCCAATCCTTTCAAACAGTCCCACTTTCTTGTGACTAAGCTTTCAGATATATGAGTCTATAGGGACCATTCTTACTCATCTGCTCAGATTATCTCACTACATTTGCTTTCATGTCCTACTATATAGAATCTGAGCTTTGGACTGAATGACTTCTGAAGGTTCTCTTACACTGATTTTTTTTCCCTGTTAATCTGAAGACTTCAATCCATATGCTGTCGTAGAAGCTAGAGTATATATTAAGATATGGTCTTAGGAATCAAAGTTTTTGTGGTTTATTACAGTCTTGCTTTGTATCCCCAGGGGTCTTTAACTTGAGATGCTCCTGCCTTAGCCTCTTATATAACTGGAATGTAGAGTTGGCATTTCTCCCTCCAAGAACCAGTTTTGATTGTTTCCTGCACAGGACTTTCTAGGTATTTTTATATGATTTACTTTTTCACCAGCAGTGTCCGAGTTTTACATTTTAAAAAATTAAGGTTTTATTTTATTTTCATTTATATATATGTCTGTGTGTCTGTGTGAATATATGTGCCTTTGGAGGCCAGAAGAGGGTATCAGATTCCCTGGAGCTGGAGTTACAGCCTGTTACAAGCTGGCTGGCATAGGTGGGAATTGAACTCTGGTTCTCTGGAGGCACAGCAAACATTCTTAGCTGCGGAGCTCTCTCTCCTCAGTACCCAGCACGCACCCCCAACCCTCTTTTTACATTTATTTCTTTTAGTGTGTTTGCATGTGGGTTCCTTGTGGCATCGTATTTGTACTGCAATGTCCATGTAGAAATCAGAAGACAATATTTGGGAGATTTTTCTTTCTTTTCATCATGTGGGTCCTAGGGATGGAACTCATTATCCAGCTTGGCATTGGTTTCTTTACCCACTGAGAAATCTTGCCACCACCAAAGTCTACATTTCTATATCTAATCTCTTACCTTACTTTTAAATAGCATCTCTTACTGTTTTGTGGAAATTACACCATAGCTAGCTCAGTCATAATTTGCTCAAGTACAGTCCCTCTGCATCTTACCGGCATATAGAAAATCATCTGAACAAACAAAATTTCTAGTTATTCTGAGTTCTCATTCTCAGTCAATAGCATGGCTACTTTCTATGTTACTGATTTCTTGGAGTCTCTGGGTCAGTTTGCTTCAGCACAACTCTACACATTGGGCAGTGAATTAAGTATCTTATGAACAGGGTCTAGATTAATTCTTTCTCTATGAGATGCATATTCTTTCATCTTTTTGTTTTATGATAAGGAGCCTAAGAGAAGGGCTTAAGGATTGAACCACACAAATATTTCTGTAAAGTTGCCATCTGCCCATGTTTTGCCTTTCTTTTAGATAGCATCCTTTGTCCTTTGGATTAATGTCAGTACTTAATGCATATGTTTATATGCTTGCTGCTTTATCTGTCTGTATAGTCTACATATATTTTGAAGTAAGGAGATTATACTGACAGTGCAAACAGAACGAAACAAAACCCAAAAAGCAGCAGCAACAACAACAACAAAAACTTGTCAGTGAATTAAATGAAGTGCAAACACTTTTCATAAGGATCAGTCATGCTGTAGGTTATTCATTTCTTGGGGGTGTGTTTATTGGAGAAGTCACTCTGAAGAATGCCCTTTGCTGTGTTTTAGGAAGCTTTATGTATACAAACAAGTCAGAGGTGAACCATGGAGTTCTATTCTCTTGGTGGAATTTATGAATCCTGAAGAAAGCAACCAAGTTGTATATTTAAAAGTATCTCAAAATGAAAATTCTATCTTCAAAAGATTTGAGTGACTTAGGTTTAAGAACTTAAATTATTTCTGAATTTTCAACTTTGGTCTTTATTACTATGATCCCTGAGGAGGTTGAAACTGCTTTTGTTGAAGTAAGGAATAAACAATGTTAGTAGATCACAGTCTTTCTACTAACAGGCACAGAGTTTTGGCATCTGTTCCTGAATATTTAATAGTTTACCTGAGAGGTCAATGACCTATCTCACATGAGTGCTGAGGTGGCTCTTAACTGAAATTCTACTCTTACTAAGTTATATGCATTTTTCTTTCTCTTCTTTGTTTTTTGTACCCCTAGGTTAGTCCTCTATCTTCTGTCAGCCTTGTGTTCTTTTTCTAGTAAATTCTGTCCTGTATTGTACTTATTGTGTACATGTGTTGCTGTGGAGAATTTGTCTTTTATGATGAAAACCAGTCACTGATAGAATGATGCAAAGGGTTTTATATTAAATGTCATGATCAATGAGAGCAGAGAAGACTTACATTCACAAATACAATTTCTACCCTCCCTTGGTATAGTTTGTTATTTAGTATAAAGTTTTATTAAGTTTCTTTTCATTTTTTAAAATCACTAAATGAAACTCTACCATCTAAAGTAGTAATTTTATTCAGAAGATCTGTATGTATGTGTATATGTTGTTGTGTGCATATATACATTTGGGTACATGTTTACATATGTGTGGATGTATGTGGAAGCCAGGTTTCTATACTGGATACAGACACTTTCACCTTGTTTTTGACACAAGGCCTGTCACACTCTCCATGTTATTGTTTAAGGCAGGGTCTTTCAGTTATCTTGTAACTCATCAGTTCAGCTATGCTGACTCACCCATGAGCCTGTGACTCCACACTAGCTTACAGATGCTTGTGGATGTCTCTGTTACTGCTCTGTGGGCACTGGGGATCCAGACTTGGGCTCTCATGTCTGCCTGGCGAGTACATTATTACCTGAGCCATCTCCTAAGATCCTACTTATAAGGTTTTGAAGTTCTGTTTTTTTTTTTTCCCCTTCAGGTCTGCTTAGCTGAATTTGAGTAACTTTTAATGATCCTTGAGAGATTCTTTAGGTATTAGAATGCAGTGAAAATAAAGGAAGTTGGCACATTCAGTGTGTTCTCCTTCAGGAGGAGTTTGACAGGGCATCATGAGGAAGGCCTTTTTTTTTTTTCTGCAGAGGAAAGAATTTAAATTACAGGAGAATACCTAGAGATCAGACATAAACATCCTCACTATTCTGATTTAGAGCAATAAAAACTAAGGCTTTGTTGTAGTCGTGTTTTGTTTTAATTAATTTAGATTATTTAATTCTGTAATTAATTAATTAATTAATTAAAATTTGAGACAGGGTCTTATTATATAGCCTTGACCCACCTGGAGCTTGCTATGGTACACCATGCTGGCTTCAAACGCACAGAAATCCACTTGCTTTTGCTCCTGAGTACAGGGTTTAAAGGTGTACACCAGCATGCCTGAGGTGTGGTTTTGTTGTTGTTGCTTTAACCTAATTCAACAGATTGAGTAATTTACAATAAAAAGAAGCTTGTTTCTCACAACTTTGGAGTTTGGAGGTCAAATATTAAGGCACTAGTGCAAGGCCAGATCACCTTGTGGATCATCAGGGGACAAAGTGAGAGAACAGGGTTTGCTCCTTGTATAATGTGCCCCTCCCGCTCTAATTAACTCGGTCTTCTATTCTGGATGCAGAGCCCCCATTGCTTTGCACCTTTTAGTACTGTTAAATGACAGTGAAAATTTCAACATGAATTCTGGGGAGAACATTCAAATTGCAGCACCCTTGACAAAAGATTTTCTCAGGTGGTAGTCCTGTGCTGTGGGGTTGATGGCAGAGAAATATATATATGTCTAGGAAAGTCGTTAGCCTGTTGAGTAAACACAAGGACACACTTGCTGTTTACAGAATGAAACTTGACTGGTGCTTTTCTTGTGTGCTCTTTTCAGAATTTGTGAGAAGCTTCTATAATGGTCTATCTGGGCCTTATCAGAGCTGCCCATGAGCATATCTACCTGGTGAGGAAAGTCAGTCATGTCTGCAGATGCCATCAACATCGGGCCTGGGGCTCAAGACCAGCTGCATCACAGTTTGCTGTCCAAGGTGCTCCAGGCAGCGTGCTGGAGCTGCTTGGTAAATCCTACCCTCAGGATGACCACACTAACCTTACCCAGAAGGTCCTTTCAAAGGTGGGTAGGAACCTGCACAACCAGAAGTTCCATCCTCTGTGGCTCATCAAGGAGCGGGTGAAGGAACACTTCTACCAGCAGTATATGGGGCGATCCAGGACACCTCTGTTCTCTGTCTATGACCAGCTTCCTCCAGTGGTTACCACTTGGCAGAACTTTGATAGCCTGCTAATCCCAGCTGACCACCCCAGCAGAAAGAAGGGGGACAACTATTACTTGAATCGGGTACACATGCTGAGAGCACACACATCAGCACATCAGTGGGACTTGCTGCATGCGGGACTTAATGCCTTCCTCGTGGTAGGTGATGTGTATCGGCGTGACCAGATTGATTCCCAGCACTACCCCGTTTTCCACCAGCTGGAGGGTGTCCGGCTCTTCTCCAAGCATGAGGTGAGTCTTTAGATGTATCTCGTTGTTGAAGGACATTTGTGTTGTGTAACTAAAGATTGATGCTCAGCAAAACAAGGAGTGTTGTCCTTGGTCTTCATTTCCTTTAGAGACCGGTCTGTTTTTCATGATGCCTGTGTATACATTGGCCTCCCAGGCCACAGTGTATGTGAGTGATTTGTGGTTTCACACTACTGCAAACTGTAGACTTTAAAACAAAGTTTTCTTTTTTACGTGTCTTTTCTTGTCTCCTTTTCACAGTACTGACCTGCTTTACACTGGTTTATTGCTTATAGATGGATACTGGTTCGAATTCAGCCTTAATCCAGGCTAAGTGAAGGCAGTATTCTGAAACCTGTGCTCTGGTTATCCCATTTGTGTTGGTGGGACGTAGTGCTCATCTCCTGCAGCTGGAGAGTGATGAGCTCCTGGCCTGAGGGTGACTAGTAGGTCACTGGGTTGGACCATCAGCTGAGCTCTTGTTCTAAGCTCTTTCCCGATTGCCTGAGATTGAGGTGGGAGGTGTCTTACTTGTTAGTGTTGATTGGGTTTGGATGCATATTGCCCTTTTGAGTGGAAGTTTGAGGTTTAGGCCATCTTTCAGAAGTTTTCAACTTCATGCATCTATTTGATGCTATCCTAGTATACTGGCTACATATTTACTTTTCTCTGCAAAGTATGAAAGCTCCCCAGAGCTTGATTCCACTTACTAAAAAATAACCATACTGAGTATGGTAGCTCAACCTTGTTCCTCAGCACTTGAGAGGCAGAGGCAGGAATAAGGCTGCAAGTTCAGGGCTACCCTGGGCTATGTACTATACTCAGTATTAAAATAAAAAAAGAAAGAAAAAATAATTATAATTATAGCAATACTTGTCCTTCTTTCTGATATGTTAGAGACTGTTTCCATCTTTTATTGTAAGAAACAGGCAGAGTTTTAGTAAGTTCAAGTATCTCTTGTATGTCTGTAGCAACTCCTTCCAATCATTGTTCACTGGAAAGGAGAGTTACTATGGTTACAAAACACCAAATTGTAAACACAGCATAATGGTCCCTTAATGTGAAAATAAAAGCATAGGGTCCTTAGACTAAGATAAATATTTTTTTTATCCTAGTAGATAAGTTATTTAGCAGGAAACAACTGAAGGGTGCTAGCCTTTCCTTTTCCTTCTATCTGCTTGAGAGTACATCTTTGACATTGTTACATAGGTCAGCCTTTCTCAAAACTGGTTCAGAGCTGCATCTGGGAGTACAGCTGAGCATTCCTAGTACTTGGGATGCTCATTGTGTTCCAAGGTAGATGGTAGAAAGGATAGAGAGACGGGGAACTGAAAGGAACTGAAAGAGACCAGCCAGAGAGAGGAACAGTGGTGACAGCGTGCTGTATGTCCAGGGCATGGCACTGCCCAGGGCTTAAAGCAATGAAGACCACGCTATGTGTGAGCCTGCGTGTCATGGTAGATGAGAGGCAGTGATGGCTGAGAGACTCACAGTGACAGTTTATTGTAGTTTCCTACAATAGGAAATTAGCAATAAAAAATACATCTGGAGGAATCCTGCCTTGGTTTATATTTGTTGTAATGCACCTCAGCTTTCCATGCACCATGTGTATCTCATCCAGTCTGAGACTGTGACTGCTTTCTGATTCATTGTTTAATAAATTATGCACCTACAGATATATGTAAGTACCGGTCTTTCATGTTGTAAGGTGCTTCTATCTCAATGCTTCATTTATTCTTCCTAATAAAAACTTGTAGAATAGGTTATCTCACTTCAGCACAGGGACTCTGAGATCTGGAAAGGCCTAGCTACTCTTTCAGGATTGAATAGCCAGTCAGTGATAGAACCCAGCTGGAAAACAGGTCTCCTAACTCCAGTACTTCACCTACTATGTTCTGCAGATTTCTGTGCTTGTCAGTGACTCCTGTTTATGATTCCAGGTAAGCTTAGCACAGCAATTGTGAGCACTGCAGAAAGGTCATTTGATCTGATCTTAATGAGCAGATCTTACCAAGAAAAAACATTTTTAGGGAAAAAAGAAGACAATGTTTAAGGTGGTTGGAAATTTGAATACTAATGAAACTCCTGAAAATAATGTGTTTCTTTTTTTTTTTATTTATTCTTAAAATGTGATGGGAATAGAAACTTTTTTTTATAAAGTCTTTATTTTAGAAATACATATTGTAGTACCAGTATGATAAATACAGGGCTTGGGATTTTGTTCATAATAATAGTGGCTTTGGCATTTTGAGGTGGATGTAAGAGGGTAGGTTTTGAATTATAATTGGGTATTGTGTGCATGTAGACTCATCTTTTTTGGGTTTCCGTGTTTTTGAGATTCAGGTACTACAAAACCAAAAGACAGTAAACATTGAGTTCAGGCTGTCAAGGAGATTGGCTCAGCATATACTGTAATGTGGCTTCTGCTTTCGTGGGAAAGTGACTACAAATTCCTTTTTAAATTCAGGATACATTGAAGAAAAGAGTGTAAATGACACACAACAGAAATCTGAAAGACAGCAAATCTGGAATTAGTAGCTTCTCCATTTTCCATGTGATTTGGCACATAAGTTCTTACCTAACTGTAAAAGACTTATGTAGTTTGTTTCATAGAAGAAAAACCTTGACATTTATCAGACTCATTTTATGAAGTTATATCTGTTTATATTTATGCTAAATGAAAAGGAAACTTTGGACATTTCACCTTCTTGAGTAACAGTTCTTCTGTTTTAATGAACAGGCAAATATTTATTAAATGAAACAGTGACAAGTTTATTTTAGTATTGTGTCTCATTCCATTATTGTCTACATATGTTGTATTCTATTGCATTAACTCATAAAAAGAGGAGAAAACATGTGACTAACTCAATAGTTGTAGAAAAGAATTTGACATTTAATTATCTGATAGCATTAAAAATACATTTTATGACATTAATGACACATGGTAAAAACTTAAGCAAACTAAGAATAGAAAGGAACTTCCTGAACCTTGCAAATGATATCTGTCAGGCACTCACTGCATCCCTCATGACTAATGATGAATCATTATCCATGTTCCTATCAAAATCATCCACCATTCAGAGTCCCCTACTTCCCTGATTCTGCTCATTAGTGAAGTAGGAATTTTTCCTCATACAGTAAAACAGGGACCTCAAGCCCTGGTTCAATTCTCAGTACCACCAAGAACAGAAAGAAAGAGAGCCTGAAGGCTGGAGAGGTGGCTCAGTGGTTAGAGTGGGAACTGTTCTTACAGAGGTTCTGTGTTCCGTTCCTATCATCTATGTCAGGCAGCTTACAACCCCCTGTAACTCCACCTCCTGGGAGACCGGGAGATCCAATGCTTCTAGCTTCCTTGGGCATTTGTACTTTCATGCACATACCCAT